ATGGGGGGATGGGATAGGGGGGGGGAGAATGGGGGGTAAATTGGGTTTTCGGTCTGAGGAAAAAGGGACCGACGGGGCTAATTCCTCAGACCAAGAGCCTCTTCACCACGCCAAGGAGCCCCCCTTGAAGAGGTCGTGGCCTACAGAAAGCTATAGGTGCAGAGGAATTAATTCCTAAAATCCTGTCGTTAATATCCACCAGGAACTCTAAAGGATCCAGTACTGATCTTGGACCCTTCTAGTTACACAAATACTAACAATTCATTCCATGGGATGACTGTATATGTTCTATTCAAGTATTCGCTTTATCCTTAATACCTTTCTTTTTACCCCCAGTTTGCTTCTCCAATTCGCTAAGTCATTTTCCATGCGAAAATATCGAGGGCTTTGCAGGACACCCTTCCCTTTCCTTCTTATCTGACACTTGTTAGTATATCGAAAATCTATTTAAGGTAATCAAACAAGCAAACTCTTCCATTTTTCAATTCTTATTTGTGTGCTTTGAGGAATTTAATATTCTAGATGGTCAACAGGTTTTTCTAAAAGTTAGCAAGTCTTGTTCTAGTAATTTTCTAAATCAATTAGCATGACTGATCTCTATTATTATTATTGTATCCATTCAAACCTTATAGGTCATATAGAGCATGTGTAATGGGAGACGATCAGACTTCATCCAATAAAGTATAGGAAAGATCAAATTTCATACATTACGAGCTCTTTAATAGTATAAACTCTCCCCCATCGAAGTAACTCAGGTCCTATAGCCCTTAGTTTTCTGTCACCTTCCTTGAATATTGGTATCATTGTCTCTGTCCTACAGTCTTCTGTCTTACTCATTAATAATTTATTTAGGGATGTGTAGAGTAATTTGCACAATTTCATTTTCTCTTAATTCTCATGGCACTGATACCACTGATGTGGCACGTTCCGTCGGTAGTCTCACTCTCTCTGTTTCTCGTTAGTCACTTTCAGTGTTTGATAGACGAGTTTGTTTTGTTCTCTCTTTCATCTCTCTCAGCGGCTCTTGTTCATTTATTAACACCCTGAATGTTGAACACGGAACGAGCCTAAAGAACTGAAAATGTGTCAATGTTGAGTGAATACCTTTGACAAGGGATTGAACACCTATTAAAATCTCGGGACAGAACAGCTAAAAAAAAAAAAATAATGTGGGACTGAACACCATAAAAATTCTCTCTCCACTTCATTCACCGTACAAGTCCCTTCTGAATTCAACTGAAGAAGCCTGCCACAGGCGAAACGGTTCAGTAATTAAGATACAGCCAGTGTGGTAGTATAGGATCAATGAAACACGTACAAGACAGTACATATTATATTTATACTCACATGAAGAGTGTATACCATACACAGTGCTCTAGACAGTGCTCGTTACCTGTGCACCAGATTTCTGATTGCGTTCGAAATCATTCGAATAATATTCACGGTAAGTTCTAGACTTCTGAGAGTCATTTTTCAGTAACGCTATTGTACTCTGAAAATGTTTCCAAAGTGATCGCCGATGATTATCGGAAGATAACTGATAACTGACACAGGAAACCAGCTTAAGCTGTGAGCTTTCTTCGTGGGTCATCAGTACTCATCGTGGAATGGGTAGTACGGGTGATCACTGGTCCTGAAGAAAGGAATGAATATCTGAAAATATACGAACTTAACACGTCTTACTGTACACTATCGGTGTATATACGCTGAGACAAACACGCCCCTGTGCATATGCATGAAAAAGTACACACGGTTTATAACTACTTGCAAATTAATACTTACTCAGCAACGGCACAGACGCGTCCATTGCACTCCAGACTCTCTAAGAGTTTTATGTCCTCTGACGACAACTGGAAGTCCCAGATCTGCAACACGTAAAATAATAATTATGGCTTTAGAGACACCTTGGGTTGGATGATAGGTGCATATTTTCCTGATTAGTAAATTACTTAGGTATTGCATGAAATGATTGCATGAAGTGATCAGTCAGGTTGTTGTGCCTATACATCTACATGATGTAATGTGCTGGCTTGATGAAGCTCTACACGGAGCAAAATTTTTTGCAACCTGTGTCTTTCCTTCATGGTGCGGCCTACGTTGCAATACTTTCAGCGTGTACCAATAACCAGGTTAACCAGAACATTGCTAGAAGACCTGGTCTGAAACCGGGTCGCAGGGAGGCGCTCCCTGCAACCATGAACAGATTACACTAAAATATTTTAACGTACCTGAAAGTTCTCTTCGATGCGAGACTTGGTTACAGATTTTGGAATCACAATCAACCCTCGGTCAATCTGCAAAGATTTTCTTTCTTATTATATCAGATTGATTCTACAAAAAATACGTACATTTCTTCAGTGCAGTGTCATTTGCATGTAAATAACAATTATTAAAGTGCAAAAATAGAATTTCTATACTACATCCATATTAATTTACAAATATAAAATATACACACGTCACTGTTACAAATACTTCTTCGTTTAAACCCACCCAAAGTATATAGGGTAACTAACCTTTCTACTTGCTACAGAATCAACGAAAGAACTCTGAGAACATTTGTGATAGTATCACTAGTGACAAAACCGTGAGAACACTTGTGACAGCATCACTGTAAAAACACCTGTTACATCTCTGTGAAAACAGTTCTCCTAGCATCACTGCTACAACACCTGTGTAGCTGACCTGGAAACGGATGAGAATCTGTGCTGGTGACTTCTTGTACTTCTGGGCGAGAGTCTTGACCTTAGGCTCCTCCGTCAGTACTGGGTCACCTGGCTTTGCCCACGGCCTGTTCATGACAAAAGAAATATAGAAAATTAATAGGGCATGGAGAAGAGCAAGAGCGGCTAGCTAGCTTTCTGCTTTTTTTGTCCTGGACTTCAAACCTAGAAATACACGATAGTACTTTGGTCCAGGTAAAGTACATGTTCTTCTCAGAAAAAATCCGGGTGGGTTTAGTCCTTTGACATCTGTCATTCCTATATATTCCCCTATAAAGAATACGAAAAGAATACGCAAATATCACATAAAATCCTTTACTCTTTTTTTTTTTTTTGTTTTGTTTTTATTTAAAATAACTTTCCCCCGTGGGTAAGGTATTTTCGAACTCCTTTCCGCTGGTCGCTTTTTGCTCTCAGGGAATCCCCTTATATCCTTTTTTCTTTTTTTTTTCACATGGGAACGAGTTCGCCTACACCTGCAAATTCTTTTGTGGATGATCAGCAAAAACGGAAGTTTAGTATTAACTAAAAATTAATCTTCCCCCTGGTCTTATTTCCTTTAGGGGGGATATATTTTCGATGTAGTGGTCCTTCATTTTTGGTTCGTTGTTGTGTAAGGGGAAAAAACAGATTTTTCCCCTGTCCCCTAACTGATAACCCAGAGACGAATAAAAAGTTTTCCCGTAAAGAAATGACCTTTATGACCAGGGCCCCTGAACAGTCTCACTTCTTTTTCCCTTTTCCCCCACAAATATTCAATCATTTGTACCTCTTGATCATCCTATGGTAAATCTTCCACTCCACGTCCGCACGCTCCTATCAAATGACTGGGGGAAAACCCATATTAATAGCAGAATGGATTTGGTTTTTTGGGGTTTTCCAAGGGTAGTACGCGCACGAACACACCACACCTAAAAGTGTTCAGTGAAGAGGCGAGGCCACGAGTTGTATCGACCCCTGCAACCACAATTAGGTGAGTACAAACAGGTGAGTACAAGGCCAGGAGCTGAGATCTACCCCTGCAACTACAAATAGGCAAGTACAAACACACGAATGAAAGCTCGTTTAATTATAAAGCAGCCAAAGATATATTTCCTTTAAAACAATAAATCCCGGAAGGTTAGTAAATTAATGATAACCCGGAAGGTTAGTAACCCGGGATAGCACATTATAGCCAGTATGACTTAGTTATTTGGGTTCTTCAATCCTCTTCCCCAAGATGTAACCCACAACACGGCTAACACCCAGGTAAATACGGCTAGGATAACAGTCAACAAATGTAAGGAAACATACCGAGTGTTTGTGCTAGGCTCCAACCCGAGTCCTACATTTATGAGATGAAAGAGCTACCACAAACTACGAGCACCTGTACACACAAGGAGCCAACGACCTTCGATCATTGAATTTTATCTAGTCTTAATAATGAACTTTGAGTCCCTCAATTAACAGGTCCTATTTACTAACTGTTCCTGCAGAAGCTATTACATTATTAATAAAACACATATGCAATACTTGGGTAACTATATTGGCAAACTTTTCTCATTCAAAGAAGGCTTCAGTCTAATACAAGCTAATATATAACACTAGTGAAAAATGTACAGGTAATTTGGAGATCAGTCCCCTTAGGCTAGATAGAAGGGGACATCGCCTTTGCACAGTGTTACCACAGATGGCGCTCCTTTCCAAAATGCTGTCAAACCCAATTTTGACGTATAAGTCTAAGAGTACTGACCCACCTCCACAGCCAGTACTCACCTATCTGGGGACCCAAGAGGACTGTAGGCTGTAACAGTGATGTCTTTACTCTTGCAAAACTCAATCAATTTATTTGGGGCAATGGGGGGGTGTACCCGACTAGAAAAGAAAATAATTCTTAAGTCAAAATTTTCCGTTTTTCGGTATCAATATAAGTGGTGTTCGTGCAAGTCCCTTTTCACTAAATAAAATTTTTTACTACCTCAAACACTTTGCACGAGTCGCACCTAAACAACTACTGTGCCTTTACCCCTTTTACACATCGGGAAAGAAATTTCTACCTTAAAATATTTTTTTCTTGCTTGGTTTAAGTTACTAAATCTTCTTAGTTCAGTTAAATTAGTTGGATTTTTTAAACAGAGGGAATATGAGCTCGAATTATTAAAAAATTAATTTACTCTCGCTGTTTTTAAACGAAACTTTTCTTGTATATCAAAGCTCACGCCATTTTGAAAAGCACACGGTACTCTCCAGTATCAACACCTGTTTTGTTAGCAAGGGGACCTTGGGCCCCTTAAAACACGTTCCAGTTTTTCTTGTTGATTGGAGACCCAATGACTTTTAGACCCAACTTCACACACTCCTCCATTGTTTCCCCAGGTTTCCACTAATCGATTCATGTAGAGTCCTTCCCTTGAGTAAACTGGGAAGAGTCACCCCCTTCCCGCGGTTAAAGGAAAGATCGAGACTTAATGGACTTGACCGAGAGATCACCCCGCTATAATATATCTAACACAAAAATACAACCCAACAAAGAACACCCAGAATAAAATTATCTAACAAAAAAAAATACTCAACGAAAATGCTAAATAAATAAATGCACCACACAAAAATTTAATGTCAAAATGCCCCATGAAAAATTTCTTTTGAACGAGTTTATGACATTGGGAGAGTTGAAGGCTTTAGAATAAATTGAAAGGGGTTTATAGGAGTAAGCTACAGGGGTTTCGAAAAGTTTGATGACCCTTTGGGAAATGAGTGAAAACTTAAGGAATGGAGGGGTTTAATTGTTAAATTTGTGAGGGTTAGAGTAAGAAGAATCAGGCATGGTGTTTTTAAAGTGGAAAGATGTGGAGGCTTCAAGCACGGGAAAAGACATAAATTTTAAATCCCAAAGTTTGGGGTCAACATTATAACAGTGTGAGAAATATAAAATTAAGACACTATGAAAGTAATTGAAAAGGGGAAAAGAACTGAGATGCTGTGATAATTTGAAATGAGGAGACAAGTTGATAAAGGCTGTATAAAAACGGGAAGGTGTACTGGAGTCCCCGGGAAGGGGTTTGGGAAAGGGAAGAGTTTCAAATGGTAAGGACCGAGCATCCCGCGGCATGTTGGGGGTTATATCGCGTGAGTGGGAAAAAGTGATTTTGGGGTTTGTGAAGAATTAATATTTCGAAGATATTCACGAAAAAAACCTATTGAACTTAAATATGGACAGGGATATGTTGCTGCCGTACTAAAAAAGTGGGGATTGCACTGGGAAGTGATGTCCCCAAACTTCTGAAAAAACCGTTAGGGAATGAGCAACGGTGCATGCGTTTTCTTCTTTGGGTCCCCCCCGACGAGAAACCTGCGATGTGGACAAAAATAATACAATATAATGCAATGGTACAAGGGAAAGAGACTCCCCCCCCCCCCATAGTGTTTTTTTTAAGGGGCGTTTGCAGGTACTAAAAAATGCGTGAATATCAAAATGGTACACTGAAGAATGCAAGCCTTCTCTGGCTAGACAGTACCCTCAGTTATTTTACCTCACAGTGCGGCCCTTAACATTGTCAAATATATTCTTATTTCTAGATAACACTATTTTTTTTAGTCTATGGAGACAACTGGGCCTTTTGAGGAGAAGTGGGGTATGATATGAAGTTTTTTTAAGGGAAAATGACCGTAAAAAGGGCATGGGCCAGTGTACAGGAGAGGTCAGGAAAGGTAGGTAGACGCGTGGCAAGACATGACCTTGAAGCCCCTGGGCAGTGTAAAAGTAAGGGCAAGGTATCGAGCCGAGGTTTGCCCGGGTGGTCTTGAGGGCTGGCAGCACAGACAACTTCGCGTGGAAAGTATTCCACACCTGGTACAAAGAAAACTTTTAACATCAAAGAATTTTTTCCAGTGAAAAATTAGTTCAACCCCTGCATACAGTGTGTAGTAAGATGGTAAATGAATGCTGTCTTACCACGGACGCGAATGAAGTCACATAGGACACATTTACTGAAAATGTATCGGTCCTTGGACCTTCATTCCTTCAAGGTCCAAGGTCCTAAACGTATTCAATAGGGGCGTCCCATGTGACTGTATTCGCTTTCATTTCCTTCAAGGGGCATCTTGAACCTTGTTTACGTGCCATAACTTCTAAGTTGAAGGTGGGAAGTCTTCTGAAGCTTTGGTATCTACGACCTTCACTAGTACAGATAATCATCATCTGCACATATCTTATTTACAGGAATAATATTAATTTTTACATATTCTTTTTATCTTTCGTTCATATTTTCATCCTAACCTTGTCAGTATTTTTTTCATGCTCATTTTACAGGCCAAGAGCTGTTATCCTACCTTGTCTCATTTACACAGATATTATTCTACCTCAGCTCATTTCAGAGCCCAGCCCTATTAAGATATACTACCACCCTACTCCTGTATGCTACCCATAAGTCAGCTAACACCTAGGTGCTAGGTGAAACCTGTGTTCATGTGTAAGGTTATTTTCCCAGTGTTTCCTGCAGCCCAGGTTTCGAACCTGCGTCCATAGATTTTCAGACTGTGGGTCATCTTTTTTAAGTTAGTCTTTCTCACAATAAAAGACATCAATGATCCATTCATAAACATGGATAATATTGTTATATATTCATGGGGAAACACTAAACCCACAAGGGTCATACAGAGAATAGGGAATGAGAAGTAGATTTAATTCAAGGAATAAGAGGTAATTCCCTGAATCAAGAACCTTTCCCCAGCCTTAAGGTGTGTGTCGTGGTGTATAGAGAACATGGAGATGCAGACTTAGACACTGGCGGTTCAATCCCTTCAACATGGGGACGCCTTAATGCTAGTGAGGTGGCTCTTGAGCCATGGAATTAGAGCCAGCCTTTTCCTCGGAACAAACCTGACTACCTCTCATTCCCCAGTCACTATTAACCAGGTTTGCTGGCTTCCCTGTGGATATAATGTTATCACTAGATATTAAGTGGTGATCATACCTTGCTGGTGATGAAGAGTTCATCCCTGGTGACAGTACCGTCCTTGATGACAGCAGCGATGGCAACTCCCACCTCAGGTTCATTGCAGTACACGTGAGCACAGTCAATGTGCCGGTAGCCAGCTGTGATGGCGTCCTTTACCGCCGCCGTCACCTCTCCTGGCTTAGACTGTCCCACACATTAACTCATAGTGTAACTTAATAAAAACTAATTACCACATTTACAGATGCTACCCATTTACTGTCTGATTTTCACCGTGTGCGAGATGAACTGGTTCATATATCAACATATTTGAAAAGTAAATTTTATTACCATAATTAATTTAAGTTGTATTAATGTTCTTAGAATTACCGACAATTTGTTAGGTAAAAGTTACACATATATACTTTTACCTAACATTTAACATAAAGATGGATAAATATGGAGTGGAAGAGATGGATGGTAGGGGTCGTCCCAGGAAGCATTGGAGGAAGAGGGGTTAACGAGGTTTTGAGTGCTAGGGTTTTGAGCATCTAGCAGGTTTGTGTGAGCGGTGTGGAAAATAATGTCTTTTCCGGAAAAAATACAGTGTATTTTTTATGTAAATTAGCGTAATACATTGTATTTAATAAAATTTGTTATAAAAAATGGGAAGCCTGCGCCTGCGCAGAAGACTCTCCATTGTGTTTTGAATGAGCCAAGAAAACATTAGTGAAAATAAGAAGAATTTTCGTGCTCTAGAGCTAAAATTGGGCTGACCTCTCAAATAGGAGCCGAAATTGTTGGATGTGCATTCCTGCATAACTTGAGATATCAGGCGACTGGACAAGACAGCTCCAGGAACCTCAGATAAGGTTATGTTTGTAACTCTGGCCAGTGTTATTTTCATGGATAGAGTGAGGTTTTCTGAGTATGATACACCTTAATCTCCAGTCAAATTGGTGAGTGATATTAAGATATATTCTGCTTCTGTTATGTAAATGTGTGCATCTATAATTTATATATTTACCAGAATTCCTGGTGATACACATTTCATTTGTAATTAATAGGTCTAGAGCAACTTGTGGATATGACAGTTGTAGGTATCGAAGGGGGACATTTTTGCGACCTAGGTGTCCCAAATTCCTACTTGTCTACGTAACTTTGATTAATAATTATCTTTGTTATCATTTACTGTTATGTACATAATGAGTTACCTTCAGATAAATGCAATTTTCCACAAGCGGGTTTGATAGGAGTGGAGACGATGGGTCTTTATCACGTGACGTACTAGTGTAAGTTGGGTAACAAAGAAATTCACGAGTCAGGAGAGGTGGGGATGCTGAAATTCTGAAGGTCACCTAGTTTGTGATGTCTGCACATTTTTGGTTAGACAGACAGTCAATGAATATCATTACTAATTAAAACATTGAATATCCAGAGAGAAAATAGCATTGTTAGAAAATTGCCAAATGCTTTTAAAATATCGTTAACTTTAGGTTGGGTAAGATTCACCAGGCAAGATGACAAAGGCCTCGTGATGCGGGTCTTAGTTATCATACGTATGTTGACCTGACATTTTAGTCATCTGACCGAGCCCTTCCACTTGCTTACAGTTTCATCCCCTTAAAAAAAACATTAACTATGTATCAAATTTGTGTTTTAGAAATTGAGAGACGTTGGTGGTAGCAGCAGCAGTGACAGGCAGCAACACAAACATCTGGTGGTAGTGGCCAACCTCCACACACAAACAGGATAGAATTAGCCTCATCGTGACGACTCTTTTTTACTTTTTTTTTTTACACTGCATTGTACAGGCTGAGTGGTACTGGTCAGGGGGCACTGTAAATCTGTAGGGGTCATAAATTTCTCTCGTGGAATTAGGTCACTGATGCTTGAAATATAATGTTTAGTAATTTTGTCTCACATGGACATTCCGCTATGATCTGTGTAACTTAGTTTTGCAATCTGTCAGGCTATCCCAGCTTTGGGGTAGGGTAGGCATCGTATGACAATCATGGGAAGCGGGTTTAATTCAGATGACGCGCTCAGTGGATTAAGGAGCAACTTTTAGTGTCAAAACTTAAATAGTCTGACTCAAGGCCACAGGCGTAGTGTTTATGGTAGAACACTTGGCTCTCTCTACCACTGGTGACTGATACAGGACTTGGCTCTTTTCATCATTGGTGAGTGTGGTAGAGCACTCTACATCGCTGATATGCACTTCGTAAATATATTTGACACGGTCTTTAATATTAGTTATGTTTTTGGACCCAGATTTTGAATTTGTAATTGATAACACATATCACATAAGCAGAATCCTTTCAAAACTGCAACGAAGAGATCCTTGTGCAAGATTTGCCTAACATGATCACGGCATATAATTTTTTTTTTTATCGTCAGACAAAAAAAAAATGCGAGACAAGTTAGCTCACTTTTCCACTTGTTTGTAACGAAAAACTCAAATTATTCTCTGTTATTGCTTGACAAACATTTTGACTTTTCTCTACAATTCCAAGATTTAACAATGATCAAACACGACTTATCTATTGTTACCTTATTTTTTTTTTCATTTATGTCGATAAAGCCCAAGATGATCTTGAACTCTACCTTATTTGCTTGCAATGCGATCCATTGATTTTGGAGTAATTTAAACCGCTGACGATTCCCAGTCTGAAGACATTGCCAAAACGGAAAACTCATAATCAAAGAATGTAATGTTTGTCTACACACACACACACACACACACATACATACATATATTTCCTGTGATGAAAGTAAATAAATCAAAACTTAGATCTGCTGGTGATGTGCTGCATCAGTGAAAATATTTGCCGACCCCTTTAAGATTCATTATGGGAATCGAAAATCGAATAATGTGAACCTTAAATTTTTACGTTGTGGACCAAAAGCTCCAGTTAGCTGATTATCGTATGACAAGACCTATGTCAGGAAACTTTTTTCCTGACGAATGAAATACCATCACCCAGTGTGACTTTAATGTTAGCCACAACCGTACAAGATGGGCTTTAGTTCTCATATTTAACACATTACCTGCCACATGTAAATTATGTTAACATTCGCACTGCTTAAAAATTACATCTATATATATATATATATATATATATATATATATATATATATATATATATTATATATATATATTATATATAATAATATATTTTTCATATCACAGGCAACATTATTTTATATTTAGCGAAAAGATATTTGTCAAGTACATAAACATGCAGATAAATGGATAACTTCGAGAAATAAACTGAGGACTTACTTTCCATGTCCCCAGACCAAGTATCGGGATTGACCTCCCATTAGAGAAGTTGATGGTGCGTCCTACAGCAGCCATTAGGAAGTGGATTGAAGGAACAAGTAAACTAGAGGAGGTATGTGTGCGTGTGTCACCCGGCGCCTCAACAACTGGGACAAGAGGCTTCACTCTCGCTCACTTAACACACTCGCCAACCACACCCCCAACCCACCCACCTCCCCTCTACACAAACACACACACACACACACACACACACACACACACACACACACACACACACACACACACACACACACACACACACACATGCATATCATCCACCTCATCGCCAGCTATCACCAGCATAATGTTTCTGTAATCTTTAACAAAGGTACCGCCCACCCAAAGAACTTACGTTATGATGCATATTTTCATACCACTAAACTCCATGGCCTGACCTAGCTTTAATCTTTAAAGCCACAATGGGTTACTACTGAACAGATTAACCCTCACCAAAAACTGTGACACTCACTAGACACGGGAATTTACTAGTGACTCATCAAGGTGTGACCTTATTGCTGGAAGGCACAACATCACTTGACACGAGCGCTGGTAGGTAATAAGCAAGAAAAGCTCTGGGAGATGCGGTGGAAGGTAGAAGACCTGGAATTCCGAATCGCCTTAATCTCAATAGTTCTGGGAGGGCAGTGGATAGGTTGGTGGGTAGGTTAAATGTTTTGAGACCCTTGCATTTGACGATACATCAACGTGTAATAGTGGTGAATGTGATGTTATATAGTATGGTCTGGCATGTGGCAGCAGTATATCCGTTGGCAGGACCGGACATAACTAGAATGCTAAAAAAGGTTTTTCGATATATATGGGGTCCTGGGTGTGATTGGTTGGGTAGAAGTGTTGTTATGCTACCGGTCGACAAAGGTGGATTGGGTTTAATAGATATAAGATTAAGGGTTAAGTGTATATATTTGAAGAGGGGGTTTCTCCGAGTGGAAGGTCGTGTGGGGAAGGGTGTGCAAGCATTATATGAGGAGGCACGAAGGTGGTGGGTAGGATCAGAGATGAGAGAGTGTGAGGATGTGCTGCGAGCTTTATTGTATGTTAGAGATCCGTCTAGGATACGGGTAGGTGTTCTGGAGCGTGCTGTAGGGGTGAGGGTGATTGCAAATGTTGAGGGCATATACCCAATGTATGCATGGGGAGATATTTGGGTAAGGTTGCGGTTGGTGCGCATCAGACCAAGAGTGAGAGAGGTAATGTTTCGTTTCCTTCATGGAATACTGCCGTCTGGTGTGGTGCTTCGGGAGAGAGAGTTGATGGTGGAGGACGTATGTAGGGCGTGTGGGGATAGGGAGACAGCTTTTCATGTAGTATATTTTTGTAAAAATTTGGAGTGTATACGGGAGTGGATGGGTGGGATTTTGATGAGGGTGGGTGGGGGAGGGATATCGGTATTAAGGGCATTGAGTTTAGATGTGGGAGGTGTGGAAGAGTCTGTGCAGCGTGCTTTGGTGTACATCATAACTGATTTTGTTTTCGTATCATGGGCCATGAGGGGTAATGGGGATTGGATGGTGCGAAAGAAGGTATTGGCTGCAACAATGTACAAAACACTTAGTCGTAATAGGGGATATATGGAAGTAGATGGGAAAGGGTTTTTCCTGAAGGATATCGAAGTATGAATGTCAGAGGTTTGTTGGCGGAGTGAGGAAAAAAAAAAAAAAAAAAAAAAAAAAAAAAAAAAAAAAATCTCAATAAGCATACACACCATCCTGTAAAATTTTGAAATACAAATTAAGCTCCGCATTTAGTTTTTTTTTTTTTTAATACGGTTCAATCCAAATGGAGGTACACTGCCGAGAACAGTAAAAAAAAGACACTTAGAGAATAACTTATTACTGGGACAACGTTTCGTTTTGTGTAGAGCTTTAATCACACCATGATATAGTAAGACCTACATAGGCCGTAACTTTGTCCCAAGGAAACTAAGTGCTGTGTTCTGTTTTCTACGGTAGCTAGGATTTGTGTATGTGGGAGTTAGCAGATATTTCCTGTTATTAAAGTAAATAAATCAAAACTTAGATCTGGTGATGTGCTACACCAGTGAAAATAATTTTCAACCTCTTCCTAAGTTTCATAACGCGAGACGAAAATCGAATAATGTGACACTTAAATTTTTACGAGGTGGACCAGTTAACCAATGGAAGATCTCGGCCATTGGATTAAAGCTCCAGTTAGCTGATGATCATATGACAAGACCCATGTCAGTAAATGCTTGTTTTCTGAAAAATAAAACACCATCACCCACTGCGTGACTTTAATGATGCCCATAACAAAACATGATGGGTTTGATGTTGATATTTATCACATTACCTCTCACATGTAAATTATGCTAACATTCCCACTGTTTAAAATTACAGCACATAGATATATTAAGCATAAATGGATTAGTATTAATATTGCAGCATAAGTATCATTATTTTAAATTTAGCAAAAACAGTATATTTATCAAGTACATAAACATGCAGATAAATACAAAGCTTCGAGAAACAAATTGAGGACTTACTTCCCATTAGAGAAACTGATGGCGGGACGTAAAGCAGCCATTAGGAAGTGGAGAGAAGGAACAAGGAATAAATGGAGTAGAGGTAGTGCGAGTGTATATCACTCCGGCGCCTCAACAAATGGGACAAGAGGCAAGAGGCTTCACTCTAGCTCATTAACAAACCAGCCACACTCCCAACTCAACCACCTCCCTCTAAACACACACACACACCACACACACACACACACACACACACACACACACACACACACACACATTTTCTTTTATGTTCTACATTATAAATTTTCATTTTCGCGGCCTACAGAAAGCTATAGGTATAGAGGAATTCATTCCTAAAATCCTGTCGTTAATATGCACCAGGAACACAAAAGGATCCAATACTGATCTTTGTTCTACCCTTCCAGTTACACATATTCTAACAATTCGTTCCCCGAGGTGACTGTATATGTTCTATTCAAGTATTCGCTTTATCCTTAATAATACCTTTCTTTTTACTCCAGTTTGTTTCACCAATTCGCTAAGTCATTTTCCATGCGACAGTATCGAGGGCTTTGTAGGCCACCTTTCACTTTCCTTCTTATCTGGCACTTTATTAATATCGAAAATGTATATAAGGTAAGCAAGCAAGCAAGCTCTTCCATTTCTGAATTCTTATTAGTGTGCTTTGAGGAATTTAACATTCTAGATGGTCAACAGGTTTTTCTAAATGTTAGCAAGTCTTGTTCTTGTAATCTTTTCCATCAATTAGCATGTTACACTTCTCCATGTGATATTTATTATTATTGAATCCATTCAAACTTAGAGGTCATATAGAGCATGTGTCATGGGAGACAATCAGACTTCATCCAAGCAAGTGGGGGAAAGATCAAATTTCATACATTACGAGCTCTTTACCAGCATCAAGTCTCCCTTTTCCTAGTAACTCAGGTCCCTATAGCCCACAGTTTTCTGTCACCTTCCTTGAATATTGGTATCATCGTCTCTGTCCTACAGTCGTCTGTCATACTCATTAATAATTTATTTCATTGTTCGCATCGCTATTGTGTCGTGCGGATAGGCTGCGCAGTAGCTCCTGATACAACTGGTTTACTGCGCATTTTCCTGTTTTGTGCATACAACATGGCGGATCGCATTGGACGCCGGGTGAGCACTGTTTGTATGGAATTGGTGCGTGGCACGCTTACAGGAACAACCATGCACGTGTTACTGCATGCCATCATCAGTGAGGTATATGGAATACCGACCGAAGAATTATATGGAGTAGCAGTCAATGGTGTGTCGAGAATTTTCATCAAGTTTAAAGACGCAGGATTCTACACAAGCATAGTCAACAAATATCAGAGAAGAGGCTGCAGTGAACACTATGGTGGAAGTCTGCTTACATGATGTGCCCAGCTATGTGGACGTGGGTGAAGTACGAAACGTGCCTTTTGAGGCGATGGAGCATGATGTGACGGCGGTGTTTAGCAGCTATGGGAAAATCCACTCGGGCAGTGATGGGGGTGTGGCAAAATGGACCTTATGAGGGGCTACCTGAAGGATCATTTACGCTGAAAATGGACGTTGAGGCAGCAATTCCATATACGTATTTATGGAGGTCTTCCGAACGCAGGTCTACGTGTACTACTCAGGGCAGCGGAAAAGACTTGCAGATTATGTGGTTCTTTTGAACAATATGGCGGCCCAATGCTATAAAAAAGCTGGACGGAGGGAACAGTACCAGTGATCTTACATCAGAGGAATGCTCTGGGGGTGTCGGAGGAAGGAGTAAGGCCAAACAAGATTCCTTGCCAGAAGGAAGTGACGAAGGGGGAACTTGGAGAAGGTAACATGTTGAAGGGGCCTAGTAAGGAGGAGGGCAAGTGGCTGGAGAAAAGTCCCTTACGTAAACGGGTGGATGAAGGTGAAGGGAGCATGACGGGAGAAGGCATTCGACGTTGGAGATCAGAGAAGACAGGGTTTAGGGCCAAGCAGGACGTGAGGCGATTTTGTGGAGGAAGTATCTTTTTAGGGTTCTCTAGTAATAATTGGGGGATGAACTGTTGATAGAAGATGGGGGGCCACAGGGGTGGATGAAGGGTGTAACGGTGAGGCAAGGGTTTTGCAGGAGATAGGAGTGGATGTGTGCATAATGTAACAAACTTTTAGAGAAGTTCTTTAGGCAGAAAGGGTAGAATTGTATGTAGGAGGGGAGTTCTGTAAGGTAAAAGGAGGAGTGGCGTGGTTCTGGTAAGGAAAAGAATGAGAAAATCTTGGAGTGATGTAGTATAAGTGGGAAAGGGGAAGGGAGGGTATGAGGGTAAGAAGGGATGGTGAATGAAGTGGAGAGCATCGAGGAGGTATGTTTATTGGTGTGTGTGCCAGAAGAAAGGTAAACCACAGGTATTAAAATAATTAGATAGTAACTTTTAAGTGTTTTTAAGGATTTACACTGTAAGTGAATCGAGTTGGACTGGAACTGTTTATAAGGATTGAAGTGGATCGTGAGCTTTCAAGGACGTATTAAGTATTACGTCGCTTTACGCAATAAGTTTACATGTATGCAGGGGTGAGGTACTGGGGGAGTGGAGGGCTTGGAAGGATACCCTTTATTTAAGGGAAATATTAGGAGGTGGGATGGTTTACATAAGAGAGTTAGGGTAGCAGGAGAATAACAAATAGTGGACGTGGATTTTAGGATCTTTTAAGGGGTTTACCTCTAGTAACTGGATTGGGGGGATGGAATGTTATAAGGGGGGACGTGAAAGGGGGGGGGGGTGATGGTGTACGCAGGTTTAAGAGCGGGTGAGGGACTTGTGGAGGGAGGATTGGAGGTGGATTATTTTGTTGGGGAAAATAGGGGTAATGGTAACGAGGCAGTTATAGAGGGTAAAAAAGGGAGGAGGGTGGTGGGGGTTTTGGTAGAATGGAGTGGGACCGGGTTAAGATATTCATTTCGGAATTTAAGGGGTTGAGGGTGCCAGGTTTAACTGGCCGGACAATTTTGGGGCAAGGATTGGGTGAAGGAGTATTTTATTTGGGAAAAACTAAACGTGCAACGCAGTTATAATATAAGAAGGAGGAGGCGATGGAGGTACGTTATCAGAATTATTTGGAACAGCAGCTCAATGAGTTTTACGCAAGAGATGAGGGGAAGTCTTTTGAAGAAATATCAGGGCTAAGAGGGAGACTAAGGGACATACATAATGAAAGATTGATGAATTAAGGGTAAGGGCAGGTATGGATGCGTGCTATGGGGAGATAAACCGTCGGGTAGTGTGTTACGAAGTTTCCGCATTAGACAACAGGAGTCCACTATAATACTTTTAGAGGTTAGTGACGATTTGGAAGGTTATACTAAGGGGCAAATGTTGGTGACAACTGAGGGGATAAGTAATTATGCGGACTATTGGTTTAAAAGGAAATGGGAAAAAGGTAATTTGGGGATAGTTAATAAAGAAAGAGGAGGGGTGAAGGTCTTGGGGAAAGGTGGGGAGGACAGAGGGGGATTGGAGGGAATAATAAGTATGGAAGAAGTGAAAGAGGCAGTGTTCAATTTAAGTAAGGGAAAGCACCGGGAATTGATGGGCTTTCCAATGATTTTTACAGAGTGCATTGGGAAACCATAAATGTTTGTTTGGTTCAGATATTGAATTGTATGCTGAAGGAAGGGAAATTGGGAACGTCACAGAGGACGGGTGTGGTCGTGCTTGTAAAGAAAAAAAGCGAGGGGAGAACACTGAGCACGTACAGGGCCATATCTTTAATGTGTACGGATTATAAGATTTTTGCGAAGATTTTAGGGAACAGGATGAAGAAGGTAATAGGTGGTATGGTGCACAAGGGTCAGTTGGGAATTCCGGGTCGTAGTATGAGGGATGGACATAGTCGTATTAGGGAATTTTTGCAGGGTTGTAAGGGAGGTGGAATTTTGGGCATTGATTGGGAGAATGCTTATGACGGTGTGAATAGAGTACATGGTTGACACTTTAAGGCTTATGGGTTTTGGGGAGGGAATAGTAAAATGGGTGAAGACCTTGTATGCAGAAGCTACGATTCAGGTGCAAATTAATGGTAGGTTGGGTAGCGTGTTGAAAATGGAGAAAGGACACCCTTGTCTCAAACCTATGTCTCAAATTCTGTTTGCATGTATGCAACACCCGTTTTATGGAATGGTTGAGGAAGCAACAACGTTACAGGAGGAGGGGTCAGGGGTTCACAGAGGTAGTTGGTTATGTAGATGACACAACAATACTGATCAATGATGTCGAAGGTTTGCGAAAGGTGGAGAGAGTAATGAGGTTTTTTGGAGAGGCGTCAGGCATGCGTGTCAACAGGGCTAAATCGAAATTATTAGAGATAGGAGATTGGGTGGGGGGTAGAATGGGGGTGGAGTTTGGATGGGATGTGACTGAACAGCTGAAAATTTGTGGGATTATCTATATGGCAGATGAGCAAGAGGCTAGACGGAGGAATTCAGAATTGGTGGGAGAGAAAGTTGTACAACGGATTAGGAACCTAAGAGCGAAGGATGTTACTCTAATGCAAAAAGGGCAATAATAATAAATTCATTGGTTTATAGTAAAGTGTGGAACGTGGCAGTGGTGTATCCTTTACGGGAACAGGAGATAAAGGAGATACAGAGAAGGGTGCTTCGTTATATATGGGGTTTTGGACGAGCATGGCTAAGTAAAGAGGTGGTTATGACGAATGTGCGCAGAGGGGGAGTAGGGCTTTTGATGCTAGGGCCGAGGGTAAAGGCCATGTATGTTAAACAAAAGTACGTAAGGGGAGGGGGGGGGTAAAAGGGGTGAGGGTTGGGAGAGTGATGAGGGATGTGCGACGATGGTGGGGAGGAAAGGACTTGATGGAATGTGAGAATATGCTAAGGGTTATGTTAGTAATAGGTGAGGTAAAAAAGCTCAAGGTGGGAAGGTTGGTAGAGATAAGTAGGAAACCAGAAGTGATGCAAGGGGTGGCGGTATACCCTTTGTATGATTGGGGTACGATTTGGCATGATTTCCAGAAACTTAAATTAATGCCTAGGGTAAGGGAGTTAGTTTATAGGTTTGTAATGGGGATTTTAGCGTCAAAGCAGGCTTTGTGTGTGATGGGTTTGGTAAAGGAGGCGAAATGCGAACATTGTGAGGAATCGGAAACAGCTTTTCATGCCGTATATTTTTGTAGGGAGTTGGGGCAGGTACGGGTGTGGCTGGCTAGAGTCTTCAAGTTAATGGGTGGGGGCAATGTAGAGCTTCTGCGTGCCCTAACTTTAGAGGTAAGGGGGTGTCTGAGGTTGTAAAAAGAGCCATTCTGTACATTGTGACAGATTTCTTGTTTTATTCCTGGGGCTTGAAGGAAAAAGGCGGGGGGATTAGGGTAAGGGCTATTGCGGCAGGAATCTATCGCACGGTATGCAGAAATAAACTCATTTATGGTAACAGGTGGGCGACTGCGTTCCCGGAGGCATATAGAAATATAACGGTAAGGGGACTCAGTAATTTGGCTACTTAAGTACTAAGGGACCATTTTCCTTTTCTAGAGCGAGTTATGACCATAATGAAGGATATGTAAATGTGGTAGGATTGTCATGAGAGTTGTATGGGAGGGATGACATGTCAGATGTGGTATAACTGGAGAGTTTTCTTGTGTGTGAATGTTTTAGTTTAAGCATGTGTTGAAAGACAAGAGGTCATTGATGATCATAGTTTTAATAAGGTAAATGATGTTTGTCAGTGAGACAACTACAAGAAGGAACACTCAAAGCATTGTTAACACACTAATAATAATGTGCTATGTAACATGAGCGTGTATCTTTGTTATTTTAATAGTGTGTTTAGTTTCTCTGTGGTAAGGTGTGGAAATGGCTATTTTGTCACCTTTATTATATTGTAATTTTTGAGGTGTTTAGTATTATGTCTTTGTGTATAAAGTTTAATATACAATATTAATGAGTGTGCAACGAATTGGATTATATGAGAATGTCTTTGTTTATAAAGTTTCATATATAATGTAAATAAGTGTGACATTCTTTGGATTATATTGTCTTTTGTGTTGTAAGATACTGACTGTATTTTATGGATATAACAAACCCAGCTGTATGTTCAGGTGTGGGCTGTTTTTAGTTACATGTATGTTGTGTGTGCTGGTTGGGCACTTTGGAGGGGGAATCAAGCATTTACAGTTGAACGTGTTTTTCTTATGTATAAGTTTAGTGCTGGGATAAGGAATGTGAAGTTGTTTGTTTTTATTATTTAATGGATCACGTTTCTTTGTTTATGTAACCTAAGTATAGCATACATGTATGATGTGTATTGTGTTAAAAAAAAAAAAATTATTTAGGGATGTGTAGAATAATTTGCACAATTTCATTTCCTCTTTAATTCTCATGGCACTGATACCACTGATGTGGCACGTTCCGTCGGTAGTCTCACTCTCTCTGTTTCTCGTTAGTCACTTTCAGTGTTTGATAGATTAATTTGTTTTGTCCTCCCTTTCATCTCTCCCCGCGGCTCTTGTTCGTTTATCAGCACCCTGAACGTTGAACACCAAACGAGCTTAAAAAACTGAAAATGTGTCAGTGTTCAGTGAATACCTTCTGACAAGGGACTGAACACCTATTGAGGCTAACGATACATCTAAGTTAAGGGATTGAACACCTTTTAAAACTTCGGGACTGAACAGCTAAAAAAATTTTTGGGACTGAATACCTTAAAAATTTTCTCTCCACTTCATCCACCGTACAAGTCGCTTCTGCATTCAACCGAAGAAGCCTGCCACAGACGAAACGGTTCAGTAATTAAGATATAGCTAGTGTGGTAGTATAGGATCAGTGAAACCCGTACAAGACGGTACATATTATATTTATACTCACATGAAGAGTGTATACCATACACAGTGCTCATGACAGTGCTCGTTACCTGTGCACCAGATTTCTGATTGCGTTCGAAATCCTTCGAATAATATTCACAGTAAGGTCTAAACTCCTCAGGGTCATTCTGTAACGCTCTTGCACTCAAAAAAATGTTCCCAGGTGATCGCCGATGACGTTCAGAAGATAACTGATGACCGACACTCAGGAAATCAGCTTGAACTGTGAACTTTCTTCGTGGTTCATCAGTACTCATCGTGGAATGGGTAGTACGGGTGATCACTCAACCTGAGGCAAGGAATGAATGTCTGTGAAAATATACGAACTTACACATCAGTCTGCATGAATACAATCTATTAGTGCACATGCACTGAAAAACACACACGGTTTATATCCACTTCCGAATTACTACTTACTCGGAAGAGGTACAAACGCGTCCATTGCACTCCAGACTCTCTAAAAGTTTTATGTCCTCTGGCGACAACTGGAAGTCCCAGATCTGCAACACGTAAAATAATTATTATGGCTTTAGAGACACCTTGGGTTGGATGATAGGTGCATATTTTCCTAATTGTTAAATTGCTAAGGTATTGCATGAAATTACTGCATGAAGTGATGCCTACAGATCTACATGACGTAATGTCGTGCTGGCTTGAAAAAGCTATACACAGAGGAAAATGTTCTGCAGCTTGTCTTGCAGCATGTACCAACAACCAGCAAGGAGACCTGGTCTGAAACCGGGAAACAGGGAGGCGCTCCCTGCAACCACGAAGAGATTAAACTAAAGTAAACCTTTTATCGTACCTGGAAGTTCTCTTCGATGCGAGACTTGGTGACAGATTTTGGAATCACAATCAACCCTCGGTCAATCTGTAAAGATTTTCTTCCTTATTATATTAGATCGATTCTAATAATACGTATATTTCTTCAGTGTGTTGTCATTTACATGTAAATAAAGTGCAAAAATAGAATTTCTACATTTCAGCAACATTAATTTGTAAATATAAAATATACATTTCTCACTGTGAGAAAAAGCCACTTCATTAATATTCAGGCCAATTAATATTTCTTCTTGCTACAGGATCACTGGAAGTACTTGTAACTGCATCACATTTGTGATAGTATCACTAGTGGCAACACCATTAGAACACGTGTGACAGCATCACTGTGAAAGCACTTGTCATAGTATCACCGCTATAACACCTGTGTAGCTGACCTGGAAACGGATGAGTATCTGTGCTGGTGACTTCTTGTACTTTTGGGCGAGAGTCTTGACCTTAGGCTCCTCCGTCAGTGCTGGGTCACCTGGCTTTGCCCACGGCCTGTTCATGACAAAAGAAATACAAAACGTTAATAGGGCATGGAGAGAGAGCGAGAGCAAGCTAGCTAGCTTTCTGCTTTTCTATCCTGAACTTTCACACCTAAATAATACACGATAGTCCTTAATCTAGGGAGAAGTACATAGTTCCCAGCAGATAATATCGATGTGGACGTCGAGGTCTTTTGACATCTGTCATTCCCATATACTCCGAAGTATATAAGAATACGATAAGTTAACGTAAAGAGGAATAAGAAAATCACATAAAATGCCTTTTCTTTTGTATTATTTATCAATATACTTTCCTCGAGGCCTTTTCGAACTCCATACCGCTGGTCACGTTCTGCTCTGCAAGAAATCCCCTTATATTCTGTTTTTCACTTGGGAAAAGAGTTCGCCTACACCTGCAAATTCTTATGCGAGATGATGTATGTAACACGAAGTTTAGTACTGATTAATCTTAATCATCCACTGGTTTTCACTGTCTTATAAGCATATATTTTCGATCCAGTGACTTCTTGCATTGTTAGCTCAGTGTTTTATGAGGGCAGAAAAAGAAAAACATTTTCTCCCTGTCCCCTAACTGTAGTAACCCAGAGACGAATAGAAAATTTTCCAGGACAGAACTGAACTTCATGAGCAGGGCCACTGAACAGTCTCTCTCTTTCCTGTCCACCCTCAGTACTGATTCAGTGTTTTCAGTATCCTACTTATCTTGATCAGTCCTATGGTAAATCTTCCACTCTGTCTCGCACGCTCTCTATCAAGTGATTGTAAGAACCCGATATGGATGGCTGAATGGATTTGTGGCATCTACAGAGGGATAACAACACACACACACACACACACCAAGTTCCATACATGGCTTTAAGAAGAAGTATGATATAGCTCATTGAGCAGGGAAAAAGTGAATTAGTATCGACCAGTGAAGAGGCGGGGCCAGGAGCTATAAATCGACCCCTGCAACCACATATAGGTGAGTACACATACAAGCTGAGGAAGGATAGCAGGGAGATAACAAGAAACGACCGCAAAGTATGTGAGTAGCTCAACAGAGGAGACAGAAGGGACTCCAGAAAGACGGAGAGGTGGGTTACACCATCTAGTGTTGGACACACTACATACAACCGAGGAAAAAGTGAAGAGGCTGCTGAGGGAGCTAGATACCTCAAAGGCGATGGGGCCAGATATCATCTCTCCATGGGTCCTGAGAGATGGAGCAGAAGAGATATGTGTACCACTAAAAACCTTCAACACATCTATCGAAACAGGGCGACTACCTGAGGTATGGAAGACAGCAGACACAGTCCGTTTTTTAAAAAAAGGAGACACGAAGCATTAAACTACAGACCAGTGTCACTGACATGTATGGAATGCAAAGTCACGGAGATTATCAGGAGAAGGGTGGAACACCTACAATGGAATGAGATTATCAACTACAACCAGCACGGTTTTAGGGACGGGAAATCATGTGTGACAAACCTAATGGAACTCTATGACAGGGTGACATCAGTAAGACGAGAGAGAGAAAATTGGGGAAGGGCAAATAAGACCACAGACGGAGTACAGTCTAGGGGGCCAGAGGCTACAAATCTCATTCAAGGAAAAAGATCTTGGGGTGAGTATAAAACCGGGCACATCTCCTGAGGCGCACATCAACCAAATAACTGCTGCAGCATACGGGCTCCTAGGAAACCTAAGAATAGCATTCCAACATCTCAATAAGGAATCGTTCAGGAACCTGTACACCGTGTACATTAGATCTATACTGAAGCATACAGCACGAGTTTGGAACCCCCACCCAACCATGCACGTAAGGAAATTAGAGAAAGTGCAAACATTTGCAACAAGGCTAAGGTGCATGTCCTACAGGAAGAGGTTAAGGGAAATCCACCTGACGACACTGGAGGACAGAGTTAAGGTGGATATGATAAAGACATGTAAAATACTGAGATGAATCGACAAGGTGGGCAGAGACAGGATATTCCAGAGATGGGATACAGCAACAAGGGGTCACAGTTGAAAGTTGAAGACTTAGATGAATCACAGGGATGTTAGGAAGTATTCCTTCAGTCACAGAATTGTCAGGAAGTGCAATAGTCTGGGAAGTGATGTAGTGGAGGCAGGATCCATACATAGCTTCAAGAAGAGGTATGATAAAGCTCAGAGTGGGAAGAGTGACCAAGTAGCGGCCAGTAAAGAGGCGAGGCCAGGAGCTGTAATCGACCCATGCAACCACAACTAGGTGAGTATACACACACACACACACACACAACAAGGCCAGGAGCTGAGATTCTACCCCTGCAACTACAAATAGGCGATAAGAAACACACGAATGAAAACTCGTATAATTGTAAAGCAGCCAAAGATACATTTCCTTTAAAATAATAAATCCTAGAAGTTTAGTAAATCAATGATAACACGGAAAGTTAGTAACCCAGGATAGCACATTATAGCCAGTATGACTTATTGTCATAGTAATGTGACCCACAACATGGCTAACACCCAGGTAAATACTGCTAGGATAACTGAGTCAACAAGTGTAAGGAAATATACCGAGTGTTTGTGCTAGGCTGCAATCCGAGTCCTATATTTGAGACGAAAGAGCTACCACATAAACTGTGAAGCACCTGGTACACACAAGGTACCAACTACCTACTATCTCTGAATTTTAGCTAATCTTAATAATGAACCTGGAGTCTCTCAATTAACAGGTCCTATTTACTAACTCTCCCAGCAGAAACTAGCGCAGTATTAGTAAGACACATGCAATACTTAGGTATCTGAATTAGCAAAACGTTTCTCATTCACAGAATGTTTCAGTCGAATACAAGCGATATAACAAGAGTGAAAAATGGAGATATAATTTGAAGATCAGTCCCTCAGGCTATATAGAAGGGAATCATCGCCTTTACACAATGTTACCATAGATGATCCTTTCCAAAATGCTGTAAAACCCAATTTTGACATAAGTCTGAAAGACCTAATACACCTCCACAGCCAGTACTCACCTATCAGGGGACCCAAGAGGACTGTAGGCTGTTACAATGATGTCTTTACTCTTGCAAAATTCAATCAATTTATTCTGGGGCAGATAGGGGTGTACTTCGATCTAGAAAATAAAATAATTCGTAGAGTCAATTATTTTGTGCTTCGGTATCTAATATATTCGGTGTTCATGGCAAGTGTTTTCCACTAAAATGATAAAATCTTCTCACTGCCTCAAACACTTTTCACGGGTCACATCTTAAACATACTGCTGTGCGTCTACACCTTTACACAGTCGACGTGACCTTAAATTATTCTTTTCCTGCTTTAATTTTACTAAATCTCTCTTAGATTAGTCTAAATTTAGCTGCCATTATTAAACAGAGAAATATTGAGACTGATTTTCGTAGTTGTTAAACCAATGAATTTACACTCGACTGCTTTGACAGAATATTGTTGCTGTATAATGAAAGCTCACAGACTGGCTGAAAAGCATCACAATGTACTCTCTCCAGTATCACCCACCTGATTGTTAGCAACGGGGACCTTGGCCACCTTAAGTACACGTTCCAGTTGATTCTTGTTGAAGTTGGAGACTCCGATGGACCTGGTGAGGCCCAACTTCACACACTCCTCCATTGCTTCCCAGGTTTCCACGTAATCAACGTCACTGTAGAGTCTCTTCCCGGTCGAGTCAGCTGGCAATATATCGCCTCCTTCCTGTGAGTTAAAGGAAGATGTGAGACTTAATGGTACTGAGACCTATGAGATCATGCAGCTATAATGGCATCTGACGTTAAATACGAACCAACAGAAGAACACCCAGAGTAATATATCTAAAATAAAAACTACTTGAGCTAATATGCTAAACAAATAAATGCATTTCACTGAGTAAATTAATTCACGTTAGAATAAATGGAAGGGGTGTAGGAGTGACAGAGGGTTTTGAAATGATAGAAGGCCGTGGAACTGAGTGAAAGTTTAAAGATATGGAGGTGTTAAGTTGTTAAATGTTGTAGAGGGTTAGAGTAGGTAAGAATCAAACATTGTGTTTGAATGTAGCAAAGAGGTGGAGGCTTGAAGCAGCGGAAATGTCATATTTGAGATAAGAACATAAGAACATAAGAAAGGAGGAACACTGCAGCAGGCCTGTTGGCCCATACTAGGCAGGTCCTTTACAATCCATCTCACTAACAAAACATTCGCCCAACCCAATTTTCAATACCACCCAAGAAATAAGGTCTGATAACTCAAAGTCTTGCGTGAGCATTATGAAAAGAGTAAGGAATATAGACATTAAGACAGTGAACGTTATATTTGAAAAGGGAGAGAAGCTGAGATGCTCTGATAATTTAGAAATGTTGGGGCAAGTTGATATAGGGTGTATAAATCCAGGAAGTTTACTGGACGTCCCAGGATGGGTTGGAAGGAATGAAGGTTCAAGTGGTACGGACCTGAGCATCCAGCAGGTATGTGTGGGTGAGTTATATTGCAGTGAGTGGAGAAAAGTGATTTTTTGTGTTTGAAGAAAATATCTATGAAGATATTCACGAAAATTACTATCCGAACTTGATATATGGACGTGGAAATATACTGGAAATATATTATTGCCTGTACTTAAACGTAGTGGAAATGTTGCACTTCATCGTGACGTTCACAAACTTTTGGATAGACCGTTCAGGGAATGAGCAACATGTATGTTTTATCTTTGGGTCCTGACGAGAAACATCCGATGTGGCTAAAAATAAAACAAAATACAATGCTATCAAGCAGACGAGACCCCCGAAAATTATTATTTGTGAGGGGCGTTACAATCAGGTACTGAAGAATGCAAGACTTCTCTGTAGATAACACTATTATTTAATAGTTTATAGAGAGCTTTGATTAGTTCGTCCTTGATGCTCCTGGACCAGTATGTGAGGTAGATTTGAGATAGGCGAAATAGATAGCTTACCAAGGCACTGACCTTGAAGCCAGTGTATGAGGTGGAGGTCAAGGTACGTGAGGTAAATAGCTGACCTTGAAGCCCGTGGGCCAATGTATGAGGTAGAGATCAAGGTAGTTGAGGCCGAGGTTTGCCAGGGTGGTGTTCAGGGCTGGCAGCACAGACGATTTCGCGTGGAAAGTATTCCACAGCTGGTACAAAGAAAACTTTTAATTAGCATCAAAGAATTTTTCTACTGAAAATTTAAAAGTTCTTCAACCTTTGTGTACAGTGTGTAGTAAGATCGTAAATTAATGCTGTCTTACCACTGATGCGAATAAAGTCACACAGGAAAAATCAGTTCTTGGACCTTCATTCTTTCAAACACGTGTGTTTGAAGTGATCTAGGTCCAAGGTCCGAAACTTTTTCAGTAAAGGCAACACATGTGAATGCAGTTGCGTCCATTTCCTCAGTATATACGACCTTCACTAGTACAGATAACCATTATCTGCACATATCATGCTCTTTATAGGAATAATCAATATTACTTTGGACAGAATAAATATTTTTCCTAGAAGGGAATCATAATTTAATCAGTTTTAACTATATTTCTACTTTTAGCATCCAGTCACCTAGATGAGTACTAATTTTTTTTTTCATATTTTTCGTATTTTCATCCTAACCTTGTCAGTACTTTTTGTTCACTGCTCAGTTTACAGGCTACCTTACCTCATTTACAGACTGAGAGATGTTATCCTACCTCAGATCATTTTAGAGCCCAACCCTATCTATGGTATACTACCACCCTACTCCTGTATGCTACTCATAAGTCAGCTAACACCTAGGTGCTAGGTGAAACATGGCTTCATGTGTAAGGTTATTTTCCTAAAGTGTGGTACAGCCCAGGTTTCGAACCTGCGTCCATAGGTTTTCAGATTGTGGGTCATCCTTTTTAATTTATTCTGGATCACTATTAATAAACCATATAAATGTTCCCTGCATAAACATGGATAATAATTGTTATGTATTCAAGGGGAAACTCTAAACCCTAAAGGGTCATAGAGAGAATGGGGAATGAGAAGTAGATTTAATTAAAGGATGAGAGGCAATTCCCTGATTCAAGAACCTTTCTGTGGTGGTGTATAGAGAAGTTAGAAACCCAGACTTAGACAATGGAGGTTCAATCCCTTCAACATGAAGGTACCTTGATGCTGGTGAGGTTGCTCTTGATCCATGGAATTAGAGCCAGTCTTTTCCTCGGATCAAACCTGACTACCTCTCTTTCCCCAGTCGCTGTTAACCTGGTTTGCTGGCTTACCTGTTGATATAATGTTATCAGTTAGTTGTTAAGTAGTGATCATACCTTGCTGGTGATGAAGAGTTCATCCCTGGTGACAGTACCGTCCTTGATGACAGCAGCGATGGCAGCTCCCACTTCAGGTTCATTGCCGTACAAATGAGCACAGTCAATGTGACGGTAGCCAGCTGTGACAGCGTCTTTCACCGCCGCCGTCACCTCTCCTGGCTTAGACTGTCACACACATTAACTCTCAGCGTAACTTAAGAAAATAATTGCCACATATACATATGTTACCCATTTAGTGAGTGATTTTTTCACCGCGTGCGAGAAGAACTCTTGTCATATATCATCATATCTAAAAGTCAATTTTATTAGCATATTTAACATAAATTGTATTAATATTGGTAGAATTACCGCCAATTTATTTGGTAAAAGGATACAGGTGCAACTGTTACCTAATATTTAATATAAAGTTGTATATATCCGGAGTGAAAAAGATGAATAGTAGGGATCGTCCCTGGAAGGGCTGGAGGGAGGGAAGGGGTTTCGAGGTTTTGAGTACAACGGGTTTGATCATCTAGCAGGTTTATATAATCGGGTTTGATGGAAATGGAGACAAGGGGTCTTTATGACGTGACGTGCTAGAGTGTAAACTGGGTAACATGAAGAAATTCAAGAGTAGTAGAGGTGTTAATGTTGAAATCTGGAAGCTCACCTTTTTCATGGTGTCTGCACACTTTGGTAAGACAGTGAAATCAATGAATGATGGTGAATGTGTGTCGCCCTACACTGGTGGGAGATAAGCAGTTTTGCGAAATAAATATATATTTACTGTAAAGGCAGAGGATAAAATATAATTATTTAACGTCTTGAATATCATTACTAATGAGAACATTGTAAATGCAGAGAAAAAATAACATTGTTAGAAAAATGTCAAACGCTTGTAAAATTTCGTAAATGAAGAAAAGAATTTACATTAACGTTAAGCTGCGTAAGATTCACCAGGCCTCGTGAAGCGAGTCTTGGTTATCATATGTTGACCCGACTTTGGAGGTTTCGGTCATTTGACCGAGGCCTTCCAGTGGCTTACCTGTTCATGCCATTAAAAAAAAATAACATTAACTATGTGTATAATTTATGTGTGTTAGAAATTGAGAGGAGACGCTGATGGTGGCAGCAATAGTGAGAGGCATTAATACAAGCAACTGATGGTGGTGGCCAACCTCCACACACTCACACGATAGAATTAGCTGCCTCATCGTGACGACTAGCTTTTCCTTTTTTTTACACTGCATTGTACAGGCTATGAGTGGTACTGGGTCATAAATTTCTCTGAGGATTAGCTCACTGATGCTTGAAATATAAAGCTTATATCTCACGTTTATTATTTTTGTCGCACATGGGCTTCCTGCGCTGATCTTTGTAATTGAATCATGGGATTCGGATTTAATTCACATGACGCGCTCAGTGGATCATTGAGAAGCATATTTTACAGTCAAAACCTGAATAGTTGTCTGACTCTAGGTCACAGGCGTAGTATATATGGTAGAACACTTGGCTCTCTCTATCGTTGGCGAGTCGTAGAGCACATGGCTCTTTACATCCACGGTGAGTGTGGTAGAGCACTCTACATCACTGATTTGCACTTCGCTTCCTAAATATATTTGACAGTCTGCAATACGAGTTGTGTTTTGGGCTCAGATTTTGAATTTGTAATTGATAACACGGATCACTTAAACAAATCCCTTTCAAAACCGCAACGAAAGGATCCTTATGCAGGATTCGTATAACATGATCACGGCATTTATGACAAAAAAAAAATTCACTCTCCCACTGGTGTTTGAAACGAAAAACAAAAAAAAATTCTGTTACTGTTTGACAAACATTTCGAATTTTCTCTGCAATTCCAAGATATAAAAATGGTCAGACACGACTTATATATTGTCAACTTTTTTTCAATTATGTCGATAAAACCCCAGATGGTCTTGAACTCGACTTTATTTGACTGCGATGTGATCCATTCTTTTTGGAGCAATTTAAGTCACTGACGAATCCCAGTTTGAAAACATTTCCGGAACGGAAAACTCGTGATCAAAGAAAGGTCGTAATGTTTTACATATATATATATATATATATATATATATATATATATATATATATATATATATATATATATATATATATATATATATATAAATCTTGTGACGAAAGTAAATCAATCAAAACTTAGATGTGCTGCACTAGTGAAAATAAATGTCAACCCCTTTCTAAGACTCATAACTGGAGGCGAAACTCGAATAATGTGAACCATAATTTTTACGTGGTGGACTGGTAAACCAATGGAAGACCTCGTTCATAGGACCAAAAACTCCAGTTAGCGGATCATCATATAAGACCCATGTTAGGAAACACTTGTTTGCTGACGAATAAAACACCATCACCCTCTGCGTGACTTCAATGTTGGCCACAGCAAAACAAGATGGGCTTGTTGATATTTATCACATTACCTCTCACATGTAAATTATGCTAACATTCGCACTGTTTAAAAATTACAGCACATAGATATATTAAAACATAAATAGATTAGAATTAATATGCAGCACAAGCAACATTTTAAATTTAGCGAAAACATGATATTTATCAAGTACATAAAAATACAGATAAATGTAAAGCTTCGAGAAACAAATTGAGGACTTACTTTCCACGTCCCAAGACCAAGTACCGGGATTGACTTCCCATTAGAGAAGCTGATGGCACGACGTAAAGCAGCCATTACGAAGTGAAGAGAAGGAACATATAGTGTACAGGTAGTGTGAGTGTATATCACTCCGGCACCTCAACAACTGGGACAAGAGGCTTCACTCTCGCTCATTTAACACACTTATCAACCGCACCTCCAACCCACCCACCTCCCTCTACACCACACACACACACACATTCACTTTTATGTTCTACATTATATATTTTCATCATTTGCGCAACCTAAAGAAGGCTATAGGTATACAGGAATCTATTCCTAAAATCCTGTCGATAATATGCACCAAGAACACACAGGGATCCAAAAGTGATCTTTGTTGGACTCTTCTAATTACACATATACTAACAATTCATTCCCTGAGGTGACTGTATATTTTCTATTCAAGTATTCGCTTTATCCCTAATAATACCTTTCTTTTTACTCCAGTTTGCTTCACCAATTCGAAAATTGTCCTTGCGCCAGTATCGAGGGCTTTGCAGGCCACCCATCCCTTTCCTATCTGCCACTTGTTAGTATGTCGAATATCTGTTTATGGTAAGCAAGCAAGCTCTTCCATTTCTGAATTCATATTAGCATGCTTTGAGGAATTTAACAGTTTCTAGATAGTCAACAGGTTTTTCTAAATGTTAACAAGTCTTGTTCTTACAATCTTTTCCAGCAATTAGCATGTTACACTTCTCCATGACTCTGATCTCTATTATTATTGTACCCATTCAAACCTTAGAGGTCATATAGAGCATGTGTCATGGGAGACAATCAGACTTCATCCAAGAAAGTGGAGGAAAGATCAAATTTCATACATTACGAGCTCTTTACCAGCATCAAGTGTTTCCCTTTGAAGGAACTCAGGTCCCTATAGCCCACAGTTTCCTGTTGCCTTCCTTGAATATTGGCATCAACATCTCTGTCCTACAGTCGTCTGGCCTAGTCAGACGTGGCACGTTCCATCGGTAGTCTCTCTTTTAAAGAGAGAGAGAGACTATCGAGGTTAAGGATACATCTATCTAGGTCAGGGACTGAACACCTATTGGGACCGAATAGCTAAAAAATAAAAAACATGGGGTCCGAACACCTTAAAAATCCTCTCTCTACTTCTTCCACCGTATAAGTCGCCTCTGTATTCGACTGAAGAAGCCTGCAGCGCAGGCGAAATGGTTCAGTAATTAAGATATAACTAGTGTGGTAGTATAGGATCAATGAAACACGTACAAGACACTACATATTATATTTATGCTCACATGGAAAGTGTATACCATACACAATGCTCATGACAGTGCTCGTTACCTGTGCACCAGATTTCTGATTGCGTTCGAAATCATCCGAATAATATTCACGGTAAGTTCTAGACTCCTGAGTCATTTTTCAGTTACGCTATTGTACTCTGAAAATGTTCCCAAGTGTTCGCCGATGACCTTAGGAACATAACTGATGACTGACACTCAGGAAACCAGCTTAAGCTGTGAGCATTCTTCGTGGGTCATCAGTACTCATCGTGGAATGGGTAGTACGGGTGATCACTGGTCCTGAAGCAAGGAATGAATGTCTGAAAATATACGAACTTAAACACGTCTTAATGTATACAATCTTTCGGTTTATATACGCTGAGACATACACGCCTATGTGCATATGCACTGAAAAATAAATACGGTTTATAACAACTTAAAGTACTACTTACTCGGAAGAGTTATAAGCGCGTTCATTGCACTCCATACTCTCTAAGAGTTTTATGTCCTCTGGCGACAACTGGAAGTCCCAGATCTGCAACACGTAAAATAATAATTATGGCTTTAGAGACACTTTGGGTTGGATGATGGGTGCATGTTTTCCTAATTGCTAAATTACTAAGGTATTGCATGACTGCATGAAGTGATCAGGCAGGCTGTTGTGCCTACAGATATATATGACGTAATGTCGTCCTGGCTTGAAAATGCTCTTCACAGAGCAAAATATTCTCCAGCTTCTCTTTCCTTCACGGTGTGGCCTACTTTGCAATTCTTGCAGCATGTACTTACCAACAACCAGGTTAACAACAACGTTGCTTGGAGACCTGGTCTGAAACCGGGCCTCAGGGAGGCGCTCCCTGCAATCACGAAGAGATTAAACTAAAAATTCAATCTTTTATCGTACCTGGAAGTTCTCTTCGATGCGAGACTTGGTGACAGATTTTGGAATCACAATCAAACCTCGATCAATCTGTAAAGATTTTTTTACTTATTATATCAGATCGATTCTAATAATACGTACATTTCTTCAGTGCTATGTCATTTACATTTAAATAGTTCAAGTGTAAAAGCAGAATTTCTACATTTTATCAATATTAATTTGCAAATACAAAATATACATTCGTCACTGTGAGAAAAGCCACTTCATTACAGCCCATCATATACAGGCCAATTAATATTTCTATTTGCTACAGGATCAATAAAAGAAGTGACTCCATTCTGGGAATATTTGTGATAATATCACTAGTGACAACACCATGAGAACACGTGTGACAGCATCACTATAAAAACACCTGTTACACCACTGTGAAAACACTTGTCATAGCATCACCGCTATAACACCTGTGTAGCTGACCGGGAAACGGATGAGAATCTGTGCTGGTGACTTCTTGTATTTCTGGGCGAGAGTCTTGACCTTAGGCTCCTCCGTCAGTACTGGGTCACCTGGCTTTGCCCACGACCTGTTCATGACAAAAGAATTACAAAAAGTTAATAGGACATGGGAAGAGAGCGAGCTAGCAAGCTTTCTGCTTTTCTATCCTGGACTTTCAAACCTAGATAATACACGATAGTCCTTAATCTAGGTATACATACATAGTTATTCTCAGCAGATAATCTCGGTGTGTACTTAGAAGTCCTTTGACATCTGTCATTCTCATATTCCCATGTATGCAAGAATACAAAAAGTTAAAATAAACAGGAATACGAAAATAATCACATAATTGCCTTTAGTCTTTTTTGTATTATTTATCAATACACTTTCGTCGTGGGCAGAGGTATTTTCGAGCTCCTTACCGGCTGGTCGCATTTTTGCTCTCCATGGAATCCCCTTATATCCTATTTTTCACCTTGGAAGCGAGTTCGGTTCCACCTGCAAATTCTTTTGTGGGATGATGCATGTAACACGGAAGTTTAGTACTAACTAAACTTAATCATCCACTGGTTTTTATTGCCTTATAGGCATATATTTTAGATTTAGTGGCTGCTTGTATTGTTGGCTCATTGTTGTGTAAGGGGAGAAAAAACATTTTCTCCCTGTCCCCTAACTGTAGTAACCCAGAGACGAATAGAAGTTTTCCACACCAGGGCCTCTGAACAGTCGCACTCTCTTTTTCTCTCCACCCACAATACTGATTCATTGTATTCAGTATCCTACTTGATCAGTCCTATGGTAAATTTTCCACTCCACGTCTCGCACGCTCTCTATCAAGTGACTGGAGGAAATCGATATTAATACCTGAATGGATTTGTGGGATTTACCGAGGGCTAGCACTATACACACACACAAGGCCAGGAGCTGAGATCTACCACTGCAACTACAAATAGGCGAGTACAAACACACGAATGAAAACTCGTATAATTATAAAGCAGCCAAAGTTAATTTCCTTTAAAATAAATCCTAGTTTAGTAAATCAATGATAACCCGGAAGGTTAGTAACCCAGGATAGCACAATATAGCCACTATGACTTAGTTATTTCGGTTCTTCAATCCTCTTCCCCAAGATGTGACCCCACAACATGGCTAACACCCAGGTAAATGCTGCCATGATAACAGACTCAATAAGTGTAAGGAAACATACCGAGTATTTGTGCTAAGCTCCAACCCGAGTCCTACATTTATGAGACGAAAGAGCTACCACTTAAACTACGAAGCACCTGTACACATAAGGAACCAATTACCTACGATCTCTGAATTTTAGCTAATCTTAATAATGAACTTGGAGACTCAGTTTACAGGTCCTGTTTACTAACGTTCCTGCAGAAACTAACACAGTATTAAGTAAGACATTTGCAATACTTTAATATTTTTATTGGCAAAACGTTTCACATTCACAGAAGGCTTCAGTCGAATACAAGCGAATATATAACACGAGTGAAAAATGGACAGGTAATTTAGAGATCAGTCCCTTAGGCTATATAGAAGGGAACATCGCCTTTGCAGTGTTATCATAGATGGCGCTCATTTCCAAAATGCTGTCAAACCCAGTTCTGACATATAAGTTTGAGATTCCTTACCCACCTCCACAGCCAGTACTCACCTATCTGGGGACCCAAGAGGACTATAAGCTGTAACAGTGATGTTTTTACTCTTGCAAAATTCAATCAATTTATGCTGGGGCAGATAGGGGTGTACTTCGATCTAGAAAAGAAAATAATTCGTTAAGTCAATTATTCAGTGTTTAGGTATCTAATATATTCGGTGTTCGTAGCAAGTTCTTTGCACTAGAATATCCTCTAGGGAGGTTCCTTGGCGCTGGTGAGGTCTCTTAATTAATCTAGAGAACTGGATCTGCGCTCCGGTTCCCTGAATTGAGCTTGAATATCTTCCAACCCCCCATGCGCTATATAAACCTACGGGTTTAGCGCTCCTCATGATTATAAAAAATTGCACTAGAATAATAAAATCTTCTCACTGCCTCAAACACTTTTCACGGGTCACATCTTAAACATACTGCTGTGCGTCTACACCTTTACACAGTCAAACAGACTGTAAATTATTCTTTTCCTGCTTACTTTAATTTTACTAAATCTTCTTAGGTCAGTCTAAATTAAGCTGCCATTATTAAACAAAGAGATATTGAGACTGATTTTCGTGAAGTTGTTAAACCAGTGAATTTACAGACTGGCTGAAAAACATCAAATGTACTCTCTCCAGCACCACCCACCTGATTGTTAGCAATGGGAACCTTGGCCACCTTAAGAACACGTTCCAGTTGTTTCTTATTGAAGTTAGAGACCCCGATGGACCTGGTGAGGCCCAACTTCACACACTCCTCCATTGCTTCCCAGGTTTCCACGTAATCAACGTCACTGTAGAGTCTCTTCCCAGTCGAGTCAGCTGGGAAGAGATCGCTTCCTTCCTGCGGTTGAGGGAAGATA